AAATACCTTAGAGACTTGTGCAAGTCTAGGCATTTACAACCTATAAACCAAATTTTAATAATGGCATTATTTATTATCCAAAATAGACATAAATAACATTGTCACGTGTAAATTCATATTTGTGTAGAGGAAGCCGAAGTAAGGGAAGAAGTATATAAATTAGGTCTGTGCTAACACATACCAATAATCAGGGAATATTACGGTTATTGTTACATGAATTATATATTTCTTACTTAACAAAGAAATTGATTACATTAAAATACGATAAGTTGTAGCATTGTGATGAGGGGTATACAGGGTTTTATGCGTCCCGTGTTATCCACTGAGCCCGTATACCCCAAACCATAATGCTACAACAATTTATTTTACCGAATGTTTAAATCTCTCATTTTGTAAAAATAACATTAAAACAAACAGAAATTCAATCATATATTTTACTAACATGGTACCAACTAAAGTACTGTCGGAAATAGAAAAAAAACCAACTGTTTTAGGCTGTTACTCTGTATCCTTAAAATTTACACAATTGCAAATAGCATATGTCGAAATAACCCGCATCGCCTTCAGTGGGATGCGTAATTATAGGATATCCAGAAAAGCATGTTTACTCGTAAAACTGGCAAAACTTAGAAAAAATACCAACAGCTGCTGAAAACAATAGATCAAACTATAGATGGCAATTAGGTCGCCGGGCAGGTATGACGACGGACCGTCAACTCACTTGGCATGTGCTGCCCACAGACACAAGGGGTCATCTCAAATATCTTTTATGCTTTTTCATGTGTATTGAATGTGTCTTCTACTGATTTTCTAATCTTAGCTGATATCTCTATCTCCAAGTCCGATCCCAAGTACCGTCAGCAACACCCGTCCTGGTTTTTGTTTTTGAGACGACCCCTCCTACCTGTTTCTTTTTATAGTGATAGTGAGACTCCATGGTATCTACATCCTTAATAGTTTCAGTATTAAAGTTGTTATTTTTTACGTCTGCTATCGTTTATTATGAAGCTAAGTCTGATTTCAAAATGGACATTCGAAAAGTGTCATCGCACACTAATTTGCATAAAGCCATGGTCTGCTCCAAATAAGTCTCTTCGGACTTTGAAAAAACCCGCATTGCTCATTTCTGCACTAATATCTCATCAGGAAACGTTAAAATGGATTTTACTATCTCCCTAACACTGATACTGTAGTTAGGCCGAACTTAGTTCAACAGATATTTCACACTTGCACATATTAACTACCTAACTTGTAGATATAAATGTGAAAAAAGTTTTTTTCTATTTCCGACAGAACTTTAGTCGGTCCGAACCACTGGTTCACAGTTCACTGACTGCCGTCGATGCATGCTTTTTCCATGGGGTGGGGTATAAATGATTTATTCTCCCTCACAAAGATTTGACAGACAATACTTTATTACTTTAAAAGGAATTCGTTTTGGATCACAGAGCTTGACAAAAATTCAAATGAATAAGAAAATATAAAATGAAATTACTAAAAACTTAAAAAGAGAAATATGTGCTTATATATAATTAAATGAATAAGATAACTGGGCATTCAGCATTTGTTTAAAATTGCAATACTTTGAGGTACAAAAGACGTTCGAGCTCATTTAGTCTTGGTGATTGGCACTGTATAGCGGCGGCCAGATGGTAAAAGCTTATCGAGATTTAAAAAATGTGTTGAGTCAATAATGATTTTTGTCAGACGTTGCAAGTACTTGCCGCTCATACAGAAGTGAAAGATTATCGAAAGTAACCCCGGTCATTTTACTAGCCGTATTTACAATTTTGTTAAGTTTTGATTTGTTTTTGACTGAAAAAGACTCGAACCATCAGTGACAAGAAAAAGTGAGTACACTCTGAATAAAAGTGGTATAAAACAACATCATAACAGATTGGGAAATATTAAAAGATCGCAGTTTGCGCATTAGATGGAGGCGTTGTTGGCATTTACTATGCAGGGCATCTGTTGGTATACCAGGTTAATCTGCTATCAATAAAAGTTCCAAGGTACTTGTATTCAGTGACTGTCTCAATTGGTTCATCATCAATGAACAAAGGTGATACTATTGGGGAGTTAGTTCTGAAATCAATTCCAATTTTATACCGTTAGTATTACTTTTCAATACTTTACTTTGCTTACAATACAATACTGTACAATACTCTACAATACTTTATACCGTTTTATAAGTTTATACCGGTAACCTCCCCAAACCCGTACAGCCCATAACCTATACAGCTTAGTGTAAAGTGTAATAGTGCACCTTCCACTGACGGTGTCTGCTTCCTAAACCACTATGATGTAACTACGGATATAAATAAGGTGTCACTTGACGTTCCTTGTAAATGGTACTTGTTGGTCCCTGCCTGGCGCTCGGCATTAATGGGTACAACAAGGACTGGTCGGCTCGGAGTATAATGTGTCTGAGTGGGGTATTCATGCTTCACTGCGGCATGGTATCTCAGTGGGCTAGCACTATGAAACCAGCTTAAGTCTGGGCTAGTACAAGCACATACACATACACACGCATGCACGTCGTCATAAGAGCGAAATATTCTCAAGCACGTCGTTAAACCCAATTTCACCTCACCTCACCTCACCTCACCTCCTTGTACATGAATGTTTGAGAGCTTATACATTGTATAACAGTCTTCCTGCTCTAATCTTTTACTTCACGTTTGCGCAGGAAACTCCATATCTTGCATTACCTGCATCTATGATTTGATACTGCATTTAAGCTGCTATGAAGACTCTGATACATGTGTCTTAAATCTGTAGCATTCTGAAGAATGTATGATACCCCGATACCCCTCCTGTCTATATCGATCTGAGAACTGTACTGAACACTTACGACATACTCACCCCGTTCCATCTATTGTTCTGACTGGGTAGAAAACATCATTCTCTTCCCACAGAGGTTACTCCTGTCATATCTTCCTACGTAACCTCTGTTCTAATACGGCCATATTTCCCGGTTCTCGTAAAATCCCCTAGCGGCAAAAGATCCAACACGAAGTATCTCCCTTCTTTCTATCCAATCAGAACACGTGTTACATCGACTTTGATTCAACTTGACTAACACAAGCAAATGTGGGGCCACAAATATCCCCCATCTGCCGGGGACTTGTGTTGATGTTACACACAAGACGTTTAAGGCTAGCTTGTCCGTTGTCAACGAGGGCGATGGAGACGCCACTGATCAGCCATAACATGACTGAGTTCTGTCTAGAAGAAACGTTTGCGCATCGCACAGGGGAAGAGGTTTAGTTTTCTCGAAGCATACGGAAATTACCGAGGCCTTGCGAATGATCACTTTTGAAACAACGTCGCTGATTGCACAACTAAATCTGATTGCCTCCAAACACGAGTCTTGAACGCTCACACCATGAAAGGGCCGTATTAGAACAGAGGTTACGTAGGAAGATATGACAGGAGTAACCTCTGTGGGAAGAGAATGAGAAAACATAGGTGTATAATGGTTATATATACTGGCCACATAAAGAAACTGTGCACACAGAAAATATAAATATAGGCACACAGCGTATTTATACATAAACACATTTGTGAACATAGCAAGTATTGGAGACAATCAAACGTTCATGCACGTGCCAGGCGACGTGACGTCATTGATGGTGGCCTAAGGCCTTGAGTCAGTCAGTGCAATGTGTTACTGCACGTGCAGCCCGTGCAGCTGCATACAACATGTGAAACTCAGAAATTGCTGTCACTGTCGAAAGCTTGATCTTTGGTCATTCAAACGTTCACAAATTCACATGAGAAGTCACATGCACATCATGCCAAAATGAACATCTGCTCAACGTCATGAAGCCATTGGAATGGTTCGAGCAGGCATGAGCCAACAACAGGTGGCAGCACATGTCCAATGTCATCGTTACACGATATCTGCATTGGTCAGGCGTTATCGAAACAGTAATGACGTCGCCGACCACCCCCGTTCTGGGGGTTCCCGACGTAACGACGCCAAGACAGGACAGATGGATTCGGGTAACTCATCTCAGATACAGTTTCCAGACAGCAGTGACCACGTCCCAGACCATTCCCCAGACCATTCCCCAGTCCTTCAATGCTCATTTGCTAGCCTCTATGCGTCTTCGATGCACTGCTGTGCTTCACGCACACAGTGGTTATACCCGTTATTGACTTTGGGACTTCGTCGTGTGACCCCCTCCTCGATTTTGAACTTCTGACGTCATCGTTACGGATATTGTTCATGTTCTTTTGACATTTTCTTGTGGTCAGATACTTCAGCTTATAAAGTGTCCACATCATTTCGTCTTTGCTGTGTTGTATTCCAATTCTGAAGGAATTTTCTGTGTCCACAGTTTCTTTATGTGGCTAGTATATAGAAGTTGTTCCTGAGCCGTATTCAGTTGAACGATGAAAGTCATTTAGAAAAAACACACACGTATTTAAGCGTAGCAATTTGGGTGACAAATACCTGAATACGGAAAAATTATTCATACCTAATGCATTACAATCAGAATTATTTCAGAAACACAAATGGGTGTTTGAACTACTTTAAATAATGTATACGATTCTGTGATATTATTGTGACAACAAAGTCAAAGGTGAAGAAACAGAATTCATTTCAGGTAATCTTTTTCAAACAGGATTACATTTAAAAATAACACAATTAATCGCCGATATATATGCGAATAAATAATACGGTTGACTGGTACAAAATAATTAAGAACACAAAAGATTTTTTTCCAAATTATAGTGGAGAAATAAACGTGGGTTACATATTCGCAAAGGAATATGGAAATAAGTAAATGTTAATTTGTATTTCTTCACAAAAACATGAAGCAAATGATATTCCGCATATCATTCGCTTTAAGTTTTAGCGTTAACCGGGAGCAGTACCGCAGCAATTTACGCAATTATGGACTGTTTTATCCCAGTTCTGGGCCTATATTTTCGAAGCTCTCTTAGCGCTAAGACAGTCGTAAGTGCCATAAATTAACATTAACTTACGACTATCTTAGCGCTAAGAGAGCTTAGAAAATCTAGGGCCTCGTCGCTATGTACAGTCGTATCCCAGTTCTGGTCCCTACATACATCCACGACACTGTGAATCACTCCAAACATGCTGTTGGAAAATATTTCCTTTGAAATTATTGAAATATAATATTTCGAAATAATTATGACACAATGAATTTTGTTTATATGACGAATGGTATACGCTTCTTTCAGACCCAGTGAGCGGCGCTTGCACAAACCTAATCGAAAATCGCTGATGGTGTGTCAACTTCCTTCCACCCACCTTCCCACCCACCTTCCCAACCACCTTCCACCATTCGACACAGACAGACTTCGGCAATCATTTGGTCGAATATATCTGGCGTACTTGCATCGTAAAAAATCAACCAGCATTCGAGAAGTTGTTGGAGGCAATCATACTGAAGTACCCGTTTTAATGGTGAGTACAATTAGTCATCATGCAGCATGTATTTTTCGAGAATTATCACTCTGCCATATATATGTAGTTATAGCATTCACTAGAAATATCACACTGCCATATGTAAATGTTATGGCATTAAGTACAATTATGACACCCCCCATATATCTATAGTTATAGCATTCACTAGCATTATCACTCTGCCATATGTAAATGTTATGGCATTCAGTACAATTGTGGTACTTCTATATCTATAATTATAGCATTCACTAGAATTATCACTGTGCCATATGTAAATGCTGTGGCATTCACTAGAAATATCACTCTGCCATTTGTAAATGTTATGGCATTCACTAGCATTATCACTCTGCCATATGTAAATGTTATGGCATTAAGCAGAATTATTACACCCATATATTTATAGATATAGCATTCACTAGAATTATCACTCTGCCACATGTAAATATTGTGGCATTCATTTGAATTATGATAGAGCCATATATATATTATAGTTAGAGTATTCACTAGAATTATCGATCTGCCATATATATATATAGTTATAGCATTCACTAGAATTATCACTGTGCCATATGTAAATGTTATGGCATTAAGCAGAATTATGACACTCCCATATATCTATAGTTATAGCATTCACTAGAATTATCACTCTGCCATATATTTATATATAGTTATAGCATTCACTAGAATTATCACTGTGCCATATGTAAATGCTGTGGCATTAAGCAGAATTATGACACGCTTATGGTATACGCTTCTTTCAGACCCAGTGAGCGGCGCTTGCACAAACCTAATCGAAAATCGCTGATGGTGTGTCAACTTCCTTGCACCCACCTTCCCACCCACCTTCCACCATTCGACATGTAAATATTGTGGCATTCATTTGAATTATGATAGAGCCATATATATATTATAGTTACAGTATTCACTAGAATTATCGATCTGCCATATATATATAGTTATAGCATTCACTAGAATTATCACTGTGCCATATGTAAATGTTATGGCATTAAGCAGAATTATGACACTCCCATATATCTATAGTTATAGCATTCACTAGAATTATCACTCTGTCATATATTTATATATAGTTATAGCATTCACTAGAATTATCACTGTGCCATATGTAAATGCTGTGGCATTAAGCAGAATTATGACACTCCCATATATCTATAGATATAGCATTCACTAGAATTATCACTCTGCCATATATTTATATACAGCTTGTTACCAATCTATGCCTATATAATTTGCCTCGATAATCCGGAAATTCGGTTTCCGGAACCGGACGGTAAGTAGCTGTCACCAATCAGTAAAATAAACAGTAAATTGCTTCACAGTCCGGACGCTGTAAGTCGTGTTCACGAACCGTAACAACACCTCCCGGCGATGTTTACTTAATTAACTGGCCAACTGGGTTGTTGTTTTAATTAGACATTAAAAGCTCCCGACTGAAGATACTGTACATTTACACTTTGATTGACACCACAATACAAAGGCGTGGATCACAAGTGAGCTGTTTTGTGATTGGTTAATGTACTTTGACAGACAGATGCGGTCACGTGGACTTAAAGTGATTTTGCTTTACGACAATGCTGCCAGTCATGTGACCAATTTCCATGGCGGCCACAACACACATTGCTGTTTTCGCTAATTCGGCGATGGGATTTCGCTCATTATTTAATTATGTTTTGGGAAATCCATTACAGCGACAGTTAAGTATGATTCTTTATGCTACTATCAGTCGTCATTTTAAGATTCCCGTAGGCTAGACTGAATGAATGACAGGTTTATTCGCGGTCTATAAATTTTCGCGCTAAAATGTTTTGCGCGAAAAGCGCGAAAATAAAACCTGCGCGAAATATAATGCGTTTACAGTATTTGTTTTATCCAGATTCGTGTCGTTTTTGTAATAGTTTGGGAAGCAACTTGGGTCTTGATTCAGTAGTCCGGACTATTCGCAATCCGGACGAATTTACTGAGAAACGCAACCGTCCGGATTAACGAGGCTTCACTGTATAGTTATAGCATTCACTAGAATTATCACTCTGCCACATGTAAAGATTGTGGCATTCATTTGAATTATGATACAGCTATACATATATATATATAGTTATAGCATTCACTAGAAATATCACTCTGCCATATGTAAATGTTATGGCATTCAGTACAATTATGGTACTTCTATACCTATAATTATAGCATTCTCTAGAATTATCAGTGTGCCATATGTACATGTTATGGCATTAAGCAGAATTATGACACTTCCATATATACTGGAAGGCAAAAGAAATGTCGTAATATTGGAAATGACATGTAAGTATCCATGGAATATTTGAACCTATTTTTTTTTAATAATACGCCACTGAAATGCAGTACCGACTTTCATCAGAGAAGATAACCCCTCTCCATTGTCCCCCACGACAGTTTTGCCACTGTTGTGTCCACTTGGATATGTTCCCGTCGGTGACGTTGGGTGAATATGGGTCTCCTGGCAGGACATCGACAAAACAGGTTCCTGGCTTGGAGACGTCGCCGAATGGTTCGGTCACTGACTGGTCGCTGGTGGTTTCCTATGGTCACCCAAGCTGTTTCTCTGGCCCTTGCGAATAGGTCTTGCACGTGTTGATGGACGATATGACGGTCCTGGCGACGTGTTGTTACACGGGGTTGAACATTACGTCGACGGTCATCAGTGCTGCTGGTGGCGTTGTATCGCACTCTAAGACGTTCTATCGTTCGTACGCTGCAGTTGAAGTCATTAACAATGACTCGAGCATGTTGACCAGCGTTTAGACGTCCTATGGCTTGTTGTGGTTGATCTCTCGTTAACCTAGTCATAGCTGCTGTGTTCAGAAAACAAGTGAACGATTGCCATTCAAGCCGGCAGTTTATGCCTGAATGCATTTATGATGCACGTGCATCTCGATTTCAATGTTGTTTGTGGGAACTTTTCCCTCTCCAAAAACAAAACATTTCTGACCTCAATCTCAAACAATACATTATTGGGCAATGCAGGCTATACGACCACGATTCATGTTTCCTCAAACTTGACTTCTGGTGGATATTTTAAAAAAATAGGTTCAAATACTCCATTGATTCTCAAATGTCATTTCCAATATTACGACGTTTCTTTTGCCTTTCAGTATAGTTATAGCATTCACTAGAATTATCACTCTGCCATATGTAAATGCTGTGGCATTCACTGGAAATATCACACTGCCATTTGTAAATGTTATGGCATTCACTAGCATTATCACTCTGCCATATGTAAATGTTATGGCATTCACTAGCATTATCACTCTGCCATATGTAAATGTTATGGCATTAAGTAGAGTTATGACACTCCCATATCTATATATATATACAGTTATACTGACTGACTGACTGAGTTTGGGTTTTACGCCGCTTTTAGCAATATTCCAGCAACATCACGGCGGGGGACACCAGAAATGGGCTTCACACATTGTGCCCATGTGGAGATTCGAACCCGGGTCTTCGGCGTGACGAGCCAACGCTTTAACCATTAGGCTACCCCACCGCCCCATATACAGTTATAACATTCTCTAGAATTATCACTCTGCCATATGTAAATGTTATGGCATTAAGTAGAGTCATGACACTCCCATATCTATATATATAAAGTTGTAACGCTCTCTAGAATTATCACTCTGCCATATGTAAATGTTATGGCATTAAGCAGAATTATGACACCCCCATATATCTATAGTTATAGCATTCACTAGAATTATCACTGTGCCATATGTAAATGCTGTGGCATTCACTAGCATTATCACTCTGCAATATGTAAATGTTATGGCATTAAGTAGAGTCATGACACTCCCATATCTATATATATATATACAGTTGTAACGCTCTCTAGAATTATCACTCTGCCATATGTAAATGTTATGGCATTCAACAGAATTATGACACTACCATATATCTATAGTTATAGCATTCACTAGAATTATCACTCTGCCATGTAATTATATATAGTTATAGCATTCACTAGAATTATCACTCTGCCATATGTAAATGCTCTGGCATTCACTAGCATTATCACTCTGCCATATGTAAATGTTATGGCATTAAGCAGAATTATGACACCCCCCATATATCTATAGTTATAGCATTCACTAGAATTATCACTCTGCCATATATTTATATATAGTTATAGCATTCACTAGAAATATCATTCTGCCATATGTAAATGTTATGGCATTAAGTAGAATTATGACACTCCCATATATATATATATATATATATATATATATATATATATATATATATATAAATGTAGTTATAGCGTTCACTAGAAGTATCACTCTGCCACATGTAAATGTTATGGCATTGTGTAAATTATCCCTCTGCCATATGTACATATATTGCTTAATCCGTGTAACCTCTCTCCCTGCTTCATTCATTCACACCGACTCACTAAATAATCTACTTCATATATTCCAACCACAACTATACCTATCCAATGTAAATGAATCAATAAGAGATAGGTTACTATATCATAAATATTATTCATTTAGCAGGTAGGAGGATTTTAACTGCTGCAGTTATGATATATGCGTAAACAATAACAATTCCTATAATTTCAAAATATTTTCCCATAAGATTTTCCATTTGATTTGAGCCAGTATCCACTATATTTTGAGTGAGAATCATGTGCTGCTTTGGGTGAAGATAGTTCCATTGTGCTTTCGAGTGAAGATCATGTGCCTCTATGCGTTCTGTATTCCCATACTGCTACGCTAATGTGTATAACTCGTATCGAAATGTTTTTTGAATATCACATGCTAAGCTTTGGATGCAACTGCATGTTTTGCATGAAGATCGTGTTCCATTGTGCTTTCGAGTGAAGATCATGTACCTCTATGCGTTCTGTGATCCCATACTGCTGCTACGCTTACGTGTATATCTCGTAACAAAATGGTTTTTGAATATCACACGTTCAGCGTTGGGCACAACTGCATGTTTTGCATGAAGATCACTACTGCATATTTGGCATGAAGATCACTACTGCATATTTGGCATGAAGATCATGTTCCATTGTGCTTTTGGGTGAAGATCATGTATCTCTATGCGTTCTGTATTCCCATACTGCTACGCTAATGTGTATATCTCGTATCAAAATGTTTTTTGAATATCACATGTTCAGCGTTGGGCACAACTGCATGTTTTGCATGAAGATCACTACTGCATATTTGGCATGAAGATCGTGTTCCATTGTGCTTTTGGGTGAAGATCATGTACCTCTATGCGTTCTGTATTCCCATACTGCTATGCTAATGTGTACATCTCATATCAAAATGTTTAAACTACAGCAGAATTGGCCCTAAATTTCAATTTTTTTACTGACACCTTAATTCCTGAATCCATTTTGCTAATTATTATGGCAATATTAGCATATTCAGTAAAATATCTATCGTCATAGGTTCAGTACACTGTCCAAAATAAAGTGAATGTCATCTGAAGTTTAATGAGTAAGCAATATGTGAAATACTGATTGCTATTAGTTGGAAATAGTCACTGTAAAGGATTAAAATTGCCTGAATCTTGCTTAATGTGCTCATGTATATGTAGGGGTGGCACAAACCTAATTGAAAATCGCTGATGGTGCGCCAACTACCTTCCACCCATTCGACACGGACAAACTACGGCCATCATTTGGTCGAATATATCTGGCGTACTTGCATCGTAAAGTTGTTGGAGGCAATCAGACTGCAGTGCCTGTTTTAATGGTGAGTGCAATTAGTCACCATGTAGCATGTATTTTTCTAGAAATATCACTCTGCCATATATATAGTTATAGCATTCACTAGAAATATCACCCTGCCATAATATTATGGGATTCACTAGAATCATCGACACGTGGAGATCCGGGGTAGAATAGGTATTCAGCAACCCATGCTTGCCACAAAAGGCGACTATGCTTGTCGTAAGAGGCGACTAACGGGATCGGGTGGTCAGGCTCGCTGACTTTGACACGTCATGGTATCCCAAATGCGCAGTACGATGCTTATGCTGTTGATCACTGGACTGTCTGGTCCAGACTCGATTATTTACAGACCGCCGCCATATACCTGGAATATTGTTGTGTGCGGTGTAAAACTAAACTCACTCACTCACTAGAATCATCACTCTGCCACATGTAAATGTTATGGCATTTACTAGAAATATCACCCTGCCATGTGTAAATGTTATGGCATTCAGTACAATTATCACACTGCCATATATATATATTTATAGCATTCACTAGAATTATCACTCTGCCATATATTTATATATAGTTATAGCATTCACTAGAATTATCACCCTACCATATATTTATATATAGTTATAGCATTCACTAGAATTATCACCCTACCATATGTAAATACAGAATATACAGAATGGGGTGTGTCCTACAATAACAACTTATCCAAACATTCAAATGTGGGGAAAGTGAGGTTAAACCAAAGAGGGGGAGTACTTAATCCTGCTAATCCTCCTAACTGGCACTGATCTTGTTGGCATATTTACTGTATGCTTGGATGCTTACGGTATTACAATAGGACGCTTGGATTACAATAAACCCGAAATCATGGTAGGATCTCAGGACCTGGTTCCTGAGAGTTCTTGGAACTGCCAACTGTATAATAATTTGTCCGCATGACCCTTCTGTCTCTGTGGGACGAATCTGTATATCCTTCATCAATTTCAAAAGTAGTGGCTTCAATAAGGATTTTTGGCGATCCTTTTCATCTCGTGGAAGGACATCATCTTCTTTGTAGTCAAAAATCTTTGTAAAATCTGGACAAATCCTCTGTAGACGACGTAAGTTGGGATGTGCATTAATATTTACCTCAACCATTGTGGCTTGTGCGACATCATCACTTGTAGCATGTAATGCTGCAACAACGTTTGCTGGTACTGTTTGGTAGTCCTCTTCATATTCAAAGGTGACAGACCAATGAGTTGTCTGTGATTCAGTATCTACGTGATTAATGCTTGGTATGCCATCATCCTCAGTCTGAGTTGATTGGGTGACCTGTGAGGATAATTGTGAGCTTGCTGAAATGTTGGTATGGTTTCTTTGCCCAAGTTTCGTTTTCTGTTTGATCCTGACAGTTAATATTTTGCTCATATTCCTTGCGTGATTGTGCATTGGCGTTACTGTTGGCATTGCCACTGCGGTGAACGGTATCCAAAGTATAGGTAGACAGTAGCTGTTCTAAAGACCATTGCCCTAACCTACCTGTGGCATCCTTGATGGATTTGAGCCATTTCAATGTGATGTCTGTGAAGACAGTGAATTTGGAATTTACAAGGAAATGATCTAATGGCTTCAACTAAAGCTAAACCTTCTTTTTCTGTTATGCTCCAGTTCTTCGCACTGCTGTGAATACCTCTTCCACCAAAAGCTATAGGATGTTAATTATTCTTCTCATCTTTTTGACTCAAGACAAACCCTATGCTCATATCGCTGGCATCAGTTGCGAGAAAAAATTCTTTGTCAAAGTCTGGATAAACCAGAACAGGTGTGTTACACATAGCATGTTTGAGTGTGTTGAAAGCCTGATCACACTCTAATGACCACTGGAACTTTGGTTTCTTCCCAGTTTCTACCTCTGAATGCTTTTTTAACAATGCATTCAATGGCAGCACTATTTTAGCAAAATGTTTCACATACTTTCTGTAAAAGTTTGTGAGTCCTAAAAATGAACGAACCTGTTTTGGGGATTTGGGTACTGGGAAGTTTTTAATTGCATGTATAAATTTAATCTGTAGTGTTTGCTAATCCACAAATTTCTGGATCTGAAGTGGCAATGAAATTGATATATTGCCTATCTGAGGTGCTGTTGCCTATTAAGAGGGAATGGCAGCTATAATCTAAGACTGCATCGTTGTCATTGACGAAGTTCACACCTAGTTGGACTGACTCTGGTAATGAGGGCAGCACATAGAACTTTTGTGAATATTCCTGATCTTCAATGACAAAATCTAACACAACTGAACCCAACACTTTGTGCAATTCGCTGCCAACAGTTGTAATGTGTGAATAGGGTGAGTTTCCAAGTACAGGATTGTTGAAAGCTTTGTTTAGAAAAGCAAACGAAATGCAGCAAACGGATGTCCCTGTAGCTATTAAACAAGCTGTTGTTTCAGTGCCAAATTTTACCTGAATTACACTTTTGGCAAGAAGTGTAATTAAAGACACAGTTGGATTTTCATTTGCAAAGTTACTTTCCATACCACACTCTATATTGGCCATGACACCTGATAGTATGTACCATACTATAATTAAGAAAGACAAGAAATCAACAATGTAAAGTAGTACTTACAATGTTTGAAGACCTTTTCTTCCTTGGTTGGTGACTTTACAGGAGTTAGTGGCCCTTCATCCAGTGCTGAGATCAGAGGTGGAGGCAGTCGCTTGTTATTCCATATGTGCTTGTAACTGGTTGTAGTTAGTTCCTGGGCTCCAATTTCCGAAAATCGTTGATTCTCCGCCAACTATTATGATAAGGGTCTTGGTTCCAGGTGAGGGTTCCAGTGAAAGCCCTTATCTAACTGGCGTGCTGGTCTGTTTGGGAGAATTAACTCTGCAAAGAGTCCGAAGTCACAAGAAGCTAATCACAATTTTATTTACAAGAATGGAATAACATGGTGTGGCCACAGAGAGTCGGTACAACCCTCTGGGCTGAGGGCTAGAGCTGACCTGTGTTGGGAGTCTAAACTCTACTGACAACCATTTCATTTTCAAACTATGTATCTACAATTAAAACAATAAAGAGATTACCATTGGTTTACTGATACAAAACTGGGTGTGCCCTATAGTAACCAATGAAATACAGAATATACAGAATGGGGTGTGTCCTACAAGAACAACTTAAATGACCAGACAGGGGGAGTACTTAATCCTGCTAACTGGCACTAATCTTGTTGGCACATTTACTGTACCTTTGCTTGGATTCTTACAATAGGATGCTTGGATAACAATAGATGCGCTTACTCTGGGCCATGTCTTAATGACCCTAAATTGGTGTTTGCTTAGTGTTATTGTAGTACAGGTGATGACATGGTTACTTTATTGAAACAGTTTATTAAACCGTCTAGACATAATGAAAGGTTTGTCTAACAGTTTAGTCCTTGATACCTTAGACTAGGATTTATCTTGAACATCTGTGAAATTGTGCAGTCGCAACCTATACATTTTTCAATAGTATGTCTGTGAGATGAGTTTTACTACTTTTGACTGGAGTCTTTCTCTAAGCTATTACTGATACATGGTGAAACTAACATTCTATATTTATATTTTCCTAATATCTGAATCCTAATATATTGCTTGTTGTGGTAATAATGAATAATGAATTTTGTATGAATAATTATTCCATGATACGAGTATTAGGAGCGTTTTCTTTACACACTAGAGGAAATGAATCCTGAAATCGTGATGGTTCAGCTTGGAGGAAACGAACTATGCAGCTCAGGCGTTGACCCAGTTAGATTAGCAGGAGAGTTCGAGGACCTTTTTGGAGAGTTGAAAGAGCAGTATAAGATCATCAAATTGTATATTTGTGAGGAATTTCGCCGAATGTCGGACACGGCCATCATTGCTAATTATGAGGAAAAAAGGGTTCAATTCAATCAGTATCTCAAGGTAGTACTGCCAGAGAGAGGGATGAATTTCTAGAGGCACAAGAAAATCTTCAATTCCTCTTTAACAATCTTAAACATAGATGGCGTACATTTGTCAGATGATGGGAATTATTAATTTTACAGAAGTTTGAGAGGTTATATACTACATGCACCTAGCTTGCCACAGTTCCCAATATCTAAAGGAGGTACAAGTCAAGATAGTTTGTTTTGATGAATGCAGTATATTGAGACTAGCTCTAGTGCTAGTCGGACGTTTGTTTGATTTGAGACTTGCGTTGGGTCTTAGGCTATCTAGTCAGATTTTGTTTTTTATGAATGCAGTGATATTCTAGCGATGGTCTAGTATGTTAACTACAGTATATTATGAGACTAGCTCTAGTTCTAGTTCTAGTCGGATGTTTGTTGAATTTGAGACTAGAGGTGAGTCGAGTCAGAAGGTACTTATATATTAGTGATTGGCTGGTATGTTGACGGCAATACATTATGAGACTAGTTGTAAGCCTAGCCGGAGGTTTGTTTCGAAATTCAATACTAGTGGTTGATCTAATCAGATTTGTTTGATAATGCACTTATATTGTAGAGATTGTTTAATATGATTAATTGCAGTAATTCACTGGAATATTCGGAGGTTGTTATAATAATACACGTATATACTAAAGTTGGTATGGGATGTGGAATGCAGTACACATCAAACGAGCTGTATGAGAGCAAAATGTGGGTTGGGTGGTACACACTTACTGATGTAGCAGTATAGTGACTATGGTATATATGGAATAAGTAGTCGCTTCAGAGTTTAAAAGTTTTAACTCCTTTCCCTGTATTTAACTGAACAATTACCAATTATTAACAGAAAACCATCGAGATTTATAGACTAGCGTCTAGGAGTTATCTCCCTTCCCTCGTCTAACAAGTTTATCAAATAGGAGTACATTTCTACTGCAGAATGGTAGTCAAGTACTTTGAAAACTTTCATCAGGGGAGGTAGTCGTCCCAATAATATTTGAAAGATATACATAATACAAAGATATGGTTGGCAAATATACAATTCAAAACCAAAGGTGAAAGTGAAACCAGAGAATCGGTTTTCTTTTCTTATATTTATGTGCAACAGAGCAAGTTGGAGATGCCCCGTACATCTCGAGGGAGAATGAGACTTGCTGGCAGTGTGTCCGATCAAGATTCTCCCACATGACACAATGGTGTTGCTGTCGGTATGCCAAAATAAGCCAAAGTTAGGCGACTAGGAGAGCATAGCTAAATAAGATAAAACCGGTCGTTTTTAGCATTGGCAAATATGGCTGGGCATCTCTCATCGTATTATATAGCTGACTTTTATTCGCATGGGCTATAAAAGCATCGGGCTCAATGAAATCCTGTTATTAGTTTCTAGTCAGCTAAACCCCTTACACAATTTCTTGATAAGTACTCTGATGACAAAGAAGGATTGAATGTCGATTATTAAGCATCGAAGATTATTGATGGAAATATGTTATAAATTCTTTGAAAACTTTGAAGTTGAATTATTTATGATAAGAGGTAGAACACATTATGTCAGGAAGAAGAAACTTCAGCTGTTTGTTATTTAATTTCAGCTCACAATGGCGAGGTGAGGGACTAACTGGATAGGATCCCGGAGCCTGTGTTGCTGGAATAGACGTTACAACGTGCTACTTGAAGAAAACGTGTGACATTAAAGCGAAAATATGGTGAAAAATGTAAATTTCGTGGATATGGAAGAAGTGCCTTAAAGATATTTGACTTAGTGTTAGACAGACATTGAACAAGTACCTCCGACATTTGCAGATGTTAAGTTTGATGGACAGTGAACATACTAATCACACAGGAAGAGTGAGACTTACGAGTGGGAGTAGCAGGAAGGTGGAACATAGAATAGAAACCTATCGTTATATTAGCAGCAGCTCGGCTTATAGTAACCAATGAGGAGATGTCATATTACGTATTGATAAGATCACTCCCCTAACTGTCTGTGAGTGGGGAATAGAGTTCCACTTCATTGGCGATATTAGGGTCACTCACCTAAATGTCATGTCATAAAGATATCATCAATTGAAGATCAAACGACATAACACATGTAATAATTCCTGCTTGAGAGCGGTGTTTAATAATTTGTTGAAAGATTAATGTTAATGGCGTGCTGTTATTCCACCCCAAATCATCACGGAACCACCACCAAAGCGATTCCTCTCCAAGACACAGGCCTGTGCATAACGTTCTCCCACGCGTCTATAGGCACGTTGACATCCATCACTATGGGAAATGTTAAACCTGGACTCATCTGTAAAAACATTTCTCCACCAAAACAAGGGTCTGCGGACATGAATTTTCGGCACCACATTCGGCGAGCTTGTCGATGACGTTGTGTCAGGATAGGCCGTATGGCGGGACCTCGTGGTCTGATCCCGTGATGACATAAACGTTGCCGAACTGTCCTGGGATGGTTCGGGCAGTCATCACTGCAGTCTGAAACCTGTGGCGAAGATGGGTCACCCTTATCCATATGTCCTGTCTTGGCGTTGTTACACGTGGACGTCCAGAACGTGGCCGACCGATGACGTCATTTGTGTTCTGGTAGCGTCTCACCAGTGCTGAAATGGTGTTCCGGTGGTAGTGGAAATGTGCAGCCACTTGTCGTTGAGACATTCCCCCACGGACCATCCCAAAGGCCTCGTGACGTTGTGCAGACGTGAGCCTTGGCATGCTATGCGTTTCAATAGCCGTTTAATTTTTTAAACGATCACAAGGGCAGGGGTTGAGCTTTCCAAAGTGACAGTATTGTGTGGCATTCATTTGCTCTGTTTCTCTTTCCCGGAATGCACGTGCAACAACGTATTGCACGTCTCAAGGACGAACCCGCTGACGTCACGGAACGTGGCACGTGCATGCATGTTGGATACATGTCACTTATTTTACAGGTTTGATAAATTTAGATTTTAAATTTTTGTATGCACAGTTTCTTTATGTGTCTAGTATGGTTATAGCATTCACTAGAATTATCACTCCGCCATATGTAAATGTTATGGCATTCACAAGAATCAGCTCTGCCAGATATACTAGTATATAGTTGTAGCATCGATAACAGCTTGACAGCGGTGACCCATAGAAGGAAGGAGATGCCGAAAGCTGTCTTGAGGAATGTTTTGATACACTTGCTGAAGTGCTGTGTGCAGTTCGTGTAGTGTCTGAGGTGGCGGATGACCAAGAGAGAGAGATGCCATAGATGATCAATGGGGGACAAATCCGGTGATCGAGAAGGCCAAGGTAACAGCTGGAGGAAGACCTGTCAAACACTCGCAATGTGAGGTCGGGCATTGTCATGCTCCAAAGATCACGTTGACGTAGGGAACGACGTGACGTTGAACTTGTCTTCTGGCAAAACGTCTGGCTTTCCATAGCCAATTTTCGCACTGTCTGGTTGGAGATTCGGAGCAGTCCAGGGATTTGGGTTGTTATGGATGATGCAGCCGTGGTATTTGAACGAAACTGTCTCAACCGGATGCAGCGATACTGAGCGGCGGTGGTAACTCCAGGTCGACCTGACCTGGGTCTGTCATTAACACTCCCAGTATTTTTGTATCGGGTCCATAGGTTTGAGATGGTCTGTCTGGACACGCTGAAGTGCCTTGCCACAAAATGCTGCGATGTCAGTCCTTGTAAACGGCCGATGACGTTGTGACGCTCACCTTCTGTCAGTTGTTTCATTCTCTTCTCAAAAGTGGCTTTTATATGAAGGGGCACTGATCCAGAGCGATTAATGTTTCTCGCCAACAGTGTAATTACGAAACCAAGCCGCCAGCTCGTCAGTACCTGCTCCATCGACCGTGACGGACACGGGGACTGGGCTACTGTCCACCTTGGCAGAATGTCTTCAATCTAAACAGTGGGACACTAGGAAGGGTGGATGCCCATCAGATGCCGTTATTTAAAAATACCCCCTGTAGTTCTTTTCTGATTGTAATAAAGTATCCCAGCAGTGTAGGCTTATCGGATTTATTACTGCCTGGATGGTATAGTGACTGATCCAATTTGATCCTATTTCTGTGTTTTTTACCTCGATATTTACTCATGTCCTGTAAATATATGATGCCTATTACCTATGATATTAAAAACACACATTTGATTTACTTGAATCCGTAAACTAAATAACCCGATTTTGCCATTGCTAGAAAATTCTGAAAGTTTACTTAGGAAAATAGGTACATGTATATACATTTTTTTTAAACTTTAGTCCACAGCAAATGCTTACATGTATTTTTTTTTGCAACAATGAAGTTCCGTTCGTATCCTCAAAACAGTGTCGGCCCAAAGGTTTTTTTCAGTCAATTAAAATTGCATGCAATACAGCGAGTACTACTTCCTTGCTGTAACCCGTATTTGGTGGTATAAACCTACACATGTTATTTGTCATCATTCATTTTAAGTTAATGAATTTATAACAGGTACAATTAGTGTAACACCACTCATATTACACGACAAAGGTTCCCATTTGTCATTTCTCGTGTCTGGAGTAAATACTCAACATCATACTTAAAGGGGCACTGATCCAGAGCAAATTCCGTGGACTGGTTGTTGCTTTTGTTATTGGTTTTCTCCCGTGTGTACCCGGATGACCTAGTGTATGTTGTCTGTCTCATGACACTTCACAGCGGAAAAATTATTCTGTTGAATGCTACCACAAATAAATAAAAACAAAATGCAAATATTAAAATTAAAACAGATTATAGTCATACCAACAATGTCAGGCTATTACCTTGTTCGAGGAATGTATCCATCAATATCCACATAAAGGAACGATATGCAATTCATCTGCAGCTGACAAAGAATCCTGTTCAATGTCATGTGTCAATGCCCATGCCATTCCACACATGCTGGAAGATATCTGAATGCTAAATTACTAATGTAAACAACATCTCAAAGTAGATGAAAATTTTTTGACAGCTTATGTTAAATGACGCGGTCACACACCCCTCAAATGCAAAAAGTTTAAAACTATCACACAGCGTTTCCAGTTTTGTCAAATACTAAGATCAACAAGAAATAAAGAAATTTTAGAACTATATCGCTCAAGCATCACAGGCATCAATGGCGGATCAGAACAGATCGGCGATGTGTCATATTTTTCACACACATCATATACACCCTAACAATGTTTCTAAAATTATACAAATATCACTATTACTTGCAAACACCTTTCACCTGATGGTATATTCCCCTCATAAAAGTTAAAGGTGTATGTGAAAGACGTTTTTAGAATAATAACCGGAAACACTCAAACATCGCCCTGTAGTATTTCAATAGCGGATCAGATCAGATCGGCGATATGTCATATTTTTCACACACCTAAAACACACTGTAACAATTTTTTATTGTTGTCTTTCTTCGCTGTGTACCGTGAATGGAGTGAGTGAGTGAGTTTGGTTTTAGCAATTTTCCAGCAATATCACGGCGGGGGACACCAGAAATGAGCTTCACACATTGTACCCATGTGGGGAATCGAACCCGGGTCTTCGGCGTGACGAGCCAACGACCGAAAATGGAAGCCAGTGAGCTACAACATGCTGACTTGAAACTTTAATACAAATCTCATGTACTAATACTGACACTAATAACAATTATTTGGCTTCAAATGAAGTGTCAGAATAGGTGACTTTCCTTCTACATGTAGGTTTTCAGTTGTCACGACACTCAACGAATGTAATCAGCTCTTGATAATAAATCAGGCTCAATCGTAAAAGTTAAGCTGCCGCCATATTGGCTAAGCTGGTCCCGTGAGTCAAGGCTTTTCGAGGAGAGTGGAGAAACCATGCACTCCCCGTCTTCTCTTCTCCCTGCAAAAATATAACGTTACACTCGCGTCTGTAGTGAATCGCTAAAACGCATCCTACATGAAATACATGAGCATCATGAAATTGCGTATCACCCTGAGCTGAAGCCTATGACTGTAGGCTGTAAACAGCCACATCAATGGTACTCCACATGCATTGCTTTAAATGGTACTTATCCGACAGGACACGAATTCTTTGATTGATGGTCATACTTGTTGCATTTGAAGGGGTGTTCTCAACTTCTAATTTCTCGCCTAAAGTGAGCAGCTGCTGGATTGGCTTTCTGATAGACAAGTACTTCGCATTGCCAATTGAAGGCGATATACCATGTAAATTGGATAAAGCACGTCCAGTCAACAAACGCTGTATGTCACCCATTGTGGAATGAATACGACCAAGAACCTTTTGAGAATCGTCAGCACCGCCCGCCATGATTATAAACATTACTCACAGTACTTTACAGAACCGGAAGTATTTTAATATATTTTGATATGGCTTTGAATATCTCTATTTAAGATATCTTATATTCCTTTCAAGATATCTTTAAAACAAATTACGATGCCAGTAATTTCACAATACATTATCTCTGTTTGAGATATCCTTAATTCATTTCAAGATATCTCTAATTTAATTTAAGATATCAACAATTCTTTTCATGATATCATTAATTTGCTTGAACATATCCTTAATTCATTTCGCGATATCATGGATTTTATTGGATGTATCTCTAATTATCTCTAATCGAGATATCTTCAATTCAATTCAAGATATCTCTATTTTCAATCAAGTTATCTGTAAAACAATTTAAGATATCAGTAGTTCTTAATAACTGTGAAACGGCTTGCCATACTGACGCGCACGCCCGGTTCTATGCTCACATTAGTTTACTTTGCCTCATTCCACCTCTACATCTTCAACACTAGACAGGATAGGCTCGTCCCATATAGGGAAACAGTGACACGATTCACCTCGGTCGATAGGAAAGCCCACACCACTCTACTCGTGTTAAAGGTATATT